TCCACAGCACACCCCAACACCATCTGCCAGCCCAGGGACTCCCGCGCGGCTCTAGCAGAGCAGGATGAGGAGCAATCCTGGCTCCACACTACCCCTGGGGAGCCAGGAAACGTTTTCTGACTAATTCCTCCTGCAGACAGAACAGCTTTCAGGGCACTAGCTGGTGTTTCACTTGCTGGGGATGAATTCAGTGATTACAGCGCCTCCTAAAGGCATGGGTGTCCCCATAGCATAAAAACTGGGGTTTCCTGAGCACCTGCAAATCTGAGCAGGAAGTAGGCTTTTACCATTGCTAGTACCTGGGGAAGAGCCTTCCCGTCCAGCTCCGAGCCTCGCTCGCAGCCAGGGAGGGGGGAGGCACTTCGACAATGTGCTGACTTTCTTTTAGCTCTGCGATTGTATTTTTCTTTCCTAAGTCAATGCTTTTTGCACATGAAAGCTTTTCTGGGCAATGAGCAGCAACCAGAGAGGAAAGCAAATGAATGCTTTTGGATGTAGAGTCTCATAAATCATTTTTCAAAAGCTGCTCTCAGACCTGAGCAGGGCCTATGGCCAGAGGTAGAAAAAAACCGCTGTAGCCCCCCAGCCTTTCCTGGCTTCTGCTGGTCTCATGGAAACGAGTCATCTGCAGGCTCCTCCACTGACCCTTGGATGTGTTTTCTCGACAAAGTGAGGACCAGTTTGGTGATTCCTGACCTGGTTGCACAACCGGGTTTGGGTTCCTCCCAGCCCCCATGCTGGCGGCCGCGAGCGCAGGATGAGCTCTGCAGGAGCAGTCGCACAAGGAGAGCAGTGCAGGGCCCACAACACACACACACTTCATTTATCAAAACCCATCCCCTTACTACCAAAGCAAAGTCACATCGGGGGCCACCCAACAGTCACCAAACAGCACCCAACACCACCTGGAACGACTTAGGTGAAGTGAGAAAGAAAGGTAAATCCCACCAGAAACAGCATAAAGTAAAGCCAAGTGCGATTCTGCACAGCATTTGGTGTCCAAAATAAGTACTGTCATTATAGAAAGATGTAGGAGAAGTCAAACTGTCCTTAGTCCTTTAAAATTATATATTCATATATCCAAGCATGATGTTGACTTGCACCTCTCTCAGAATGTTTTCTCCAAGAAAACGGAAACCTTAAATATTAATGATTTATTCAGAAGAAATGGTGGAAGCCAGCAGAGCACGTCCAAAGCTGGCTGCTAAATTGTGAAAGACTGCAGGGAGGAGGAGGTGACGATTTGTCTTCTCTGTCCCTGGGACTAGCACAAAAAGTAATTGCCTTAATTTGCAACAAGAAGACTTAGCTTAATTATTAGGTTAACCTTCTGAACAGTAACTTGAGCAGATAACAGTTTGAAAACAGGTAATATTAACTTCTCTTTCGGATCATCTACACGTATCTGACTCCATGCATGCTGAGGTCAAGTATGGCCCTCCCGGCCCTACTCCTAGGGTTGTTCGTGTTTTCTTAATACTCCATTGTAATACTGCGTTCCTTTATACGCGTACTGACACGCTTCCCCTTAGCCCTCGAGTATTTTTTAAGATATTCTGCCTCTGCAAGTCTTGATTAATAAACAAAACATTCGTGTTTTTATGTAGAAAGCAAAATACAGGATTACTGATACTAGACAGCTATAATCAAACCGTTCCACTCCAAAGAATAATATACATACAGTAACAAATGCATGCTAAACACGCCACGCAAATACTTATGTATTTTTCATAATTGTTCAGGATAAACGAGCAGTAAACGTTTGCAGAAGCTGTAGTGATCAAATTTGTTAGCCCATATATTTTCCCTAGAAGAAAGCTAAAACTGAGAGTATGTTTCACTGCAATCTAACCCACACCCTGCAAAAATATTACACTTCTGTTACGAAACTCTGAGCCTACAAAAATCTAAAATGTTAAAAATTGTCAGCGAGCAGTTAAGGGATCCTGTCAATGCCTATACTACTGTATCCTCCCCCATCTCTCACCACCATCCCATGAGGCTTAATTTTGTCACCTCTTGCTCTGTAATGAAAATAGGCTCTTGGCAGACAATACGCTCTTGCAGACATATTGTCTGTCAAACGTGCTATAGAGTCCAAAAGGAACAAGGTCAGGAGCTCTCTTAACGTCAAGTGTTGTGGAAAATATTCTACAGCATGATGTGTTAGGGGAGCAGGACGTTTGCGGGAATGCGGAGGAATCGCCTGTTTGAGGCTCTGGTACGTGTTCTTTACACGGTGATGCCGACCGCGACAAACACACGCAAATCTTAAAAACTGCATTTTAACTACCTGAGCGCTACGGAGCAGCGGCTAACGCAGCGGGGCGCGGGGGCACTGCTCCTTTGCGGCATCGTGGTGCTGACTAGAGTGGAAAAGGAGGTGGCGATGTTAAAGCCCGGTGGACGGGAAATGGGGTAGTCACATCCAGTACGCGTTAGTTTGAATTCTGGTTTGTTTATTTGTTTGTTTGTTTAACATACCGTAGCATTCGCAGGATGAAGCCGTGGCTAGCACTAGGAAGTTACGTGGCAGTGGAGCTCTGCTAGGCCTCCTGACTGTTCGTTTTCTTGTGTTTAAGCATTTGAAAGGGACCTTTTACAGTGCAGTTGTTATTGCTGAGATACAAACTTTTTGAAAGGGAAGTGGGGTTGTTTTGATACACTCCATCTTTAATTCTTTTAAAATAGCTTATTTCTTTTACTCAGAAATTTCCTAGTTTTCTTTTTAAAAGCCACCGCCCAAAATCACAAATTGGAGCGTGGTAGTGGGCTTCAGAGAGCTGCCGCGCTCGGACCCAGCTCAGCAGACTGCTCCTGCTCCCGCTCCTCTCCGGAGACCCACGGCTTAGCCAGGGCAGGCATGGCCGGAGACAGCTTTAACCCAGGAGCAAATGCTAAGTACTTAAAAATATCTCTAAAGGACAACACAAGATTAACTGTTTCAAGGTGGTTCAAATATCTACAAAACCCCAGCCCCCAATGACGTCCAGGGGAATTTTGCCAGACTCCTGCACTAGGGCAAGGTGACATCCCGGGGTGCTGGGCTTCCTCTTCCTTGCCGCCGTCTCCACCTGCCCTGTGCCCACTCCAAGCCTTCCCAAACTCGTGAGAATTTACCAATGGATCTTAAAACTCCTTATCCAAATTCCCGCCCTCCAAAAGCCCTTCCTGATTGTTTCGGTCTGAGGCGAAACATTGCCTGTGTGAATTCAGGAAGATGGGTTTCCCATGCAGAGGGCCATGCCGGGCACATACTGCCTGGCTCATCCTGAGAAGGGAGCTTGTTTTGCTGATGGAGAGACTCCAGCCTCTCCATCACACGCGCCACGAATGCTGACGCACTGTGAGTAATTTAACCATAATAACTTCACTGTCGTACTGCTCAACTGGCCTTCTGCTAAGTGCTAGGTCCTCGCGCAGCCAAATGCAGGAAGCCTGGCGCACTCATTTCTACAGGCTGAGGAGCACTTTGTGTTCTTCTATCAGCAGTAATGCTTTTTCCTCACCAGGAATTTTTGATTTCAGTATTTTTCACTTGGGAACCAAATTATTGCCGATTACGAGAGCAAGAAATAAGATTGTTCCTTATTTAATCACTTACTCTGAAGGTTTATGGTGCATCTAATTGTACTTGTGAATTACACTTTTTCTGATGAGCCTTGTGCTTGGTCCTCAGGTTTCTGAGTGTGCTTAGCATAGGAAGAGTCTTCTCTTGCCTAGCTGTCCAGCAGTTTTGTTGAGCACAGGGCAGTGAAACAGCTGATAACGAGGCTCAGAGGAGTCAGGCCGTGGTATTGCCCTTGCTGCCCTGTCAGACACCAGGCAAGGTCCTGGGGAGCCCACAGTGAGCTATGGAAGGACACGTGCAGCTGTAGTGGCCAGACCACTACCAAGCATCAGAGGAGCCCCAGGAGCTAGGTCTCCAGCAGGCTCCTTGACGGCCAGCCTTGACAGAGCTATGGGACAGTGAAAAGCAAAGGGGTCTTTGTGGGACAGCTCAAGGGAAGCTCCAAGTTGCATTCTCTGGCCACCATGGGTTGTCACTTCTTCCCAACAAGGATTGCTGCAATTCATACCACGAAGAGGCTGCAGGCTTCAGGCTCGTTATGATGCCAGTGCCTACAAAACATCAGCATGAGGTAAAGCCCCATTGTAGCTCCAACACTTGGGGATCCTATTAATGAACCTACACACAATAATTTCCAGCTGCAAGTTCCCCCTGCCCCCTTCCGCATACCTGCCGTAGCTAGGGAATCCTGTTTAGTTTTAGAGCAGAGGAAAGCTTTCTCTGAAGTGCATGAGGAAATCAATAGAGCAGCAGGAGAAAACACAATGAAACCAGAAGCAGACTAGAGAAGCTATAGGGACTATTCTTTCCCTCCTACAGCTGACACAAGAGCAAGAAATCCCTGTAGAAGGACAGCATTCAAAAACAGACATGACAAGCACAACCTATGTAAGCCAATGCAGAAACTCAGGGTAATGCAGAGGCACCAAAGTGCATCCTAGCACAGGACAAAGTGCAGTGGTACCTATGGCACATGCAGTCCCTCTTCAGAGTCTCCATGTAAGTGAGCTGCTCTGGGGACTGAAGTAAAGAATTTTAGCTTTTTTTCCATAAAGACAAAGAGAAGTTGCTGTCAGCTGGGGGCTTCACTACGCCTCATATCCCACACTGGGGCTATTCCTTAGTCACATCAATTTAAAAAAAAAAAAAAAAAGACTTGAGTCAGTGTAGCTTCTACCCTGGGGAAAGCAGAACAACAGACATCCCAGTCAGGTCAGCCCGGAGCAGTTCAGCTTAGCAGGATAGCAGAGGCTGTCAAGGACCTAGGCTTGTGGATGGAATACTTAAGCTGTTCTGTGAGAGCCGAGGACTGTAAATCCAGACCCACGTGCTAACGCAGTAGCTCTCATTTTGGGGACTACAGTCAGAGAACCACCTGAGAGCTGTGACCGTTCTCCAGACCCCGTTTCTGTGTTTGTGTTTTTCCACCAGTCGAGGAACAGCGGGCAGCAGGGGGACATGGACGGAGCCCGGCGCCTCGGCCGCATGGCCAGGCTGCTCAGCATCGTCTCCATTATCCTGGGGACCATCATCATCGTGCTCTACGTGTCACTCAGCGTCAGAGGTAACATCTCCTTCTCTTTTCCGCAGCCTGGCAAGAGCAGGGGCTCCATGCTGTTCCTTGCGTGCTGCCTCCAGCATGCCGTTTGTAAGAGACACTAGCCTACGTCCCCAGGGCACTAAGCACCTGCACGATCCTGGCCAGTGTGTCCAGCCCTTAACTGCACACAAATATGCAAAACCCCTTGGAGAACAGGTTACTTGTAGCAGTAGTAGACACTGTTCAAAGGACCGGAATGGAAAGTCCTTCTCTTGGTGACCCGTAACGCACTAGTGACCGTACTAAATCTCCCAGATGAAATTAGTTTGGCTGGTGCTGCAGGTCTTACCCTGATCAAGGTAGGGTCGGGTTTAGAAGCATGGTAGTGAGGTAAAACAGGAGTGATTCAGTACACAAATCAATCTGCCTAGAATTGCAATCCCAAAATATTTGGAGAAACTCCCAAACATAAGCCCACCTGCCAAAACCAGCAGTGCTGCTCAGGCAAATGGGAACCTCAGATCCAGCACGCTTGAACACCCAGAGCCCAAACCAAGAGCATAAGGGAAACAGCTATGACTGTTGGAAGCTGCCCTAAGACTCTCTTTATTTTACAGTTTCCTAGAAGACATTTCAGCATGCAAATACCTCGAAGAGGAGGAAGACAACTTTCCTTTTGGGGTTTTTACTTTCAGCCTTGCAACAAAAATTGTCACGGTATAAGTGGACAGCCCTGGGAAAAGTCTGCTCTGGAGCGCCATCTGAAGAAATGCATGCATCTACTTCACAGCCTCTTGGAAGATGAATTTGTACAAAACTAAAGGATTGGATAATAAATCGCAACAAGCAATGGGAGAGAACATCAGATCCCAAGTGGAGTGGAGAAGGGGGAAATCCACTACCTCATTCCCCTCCAGCAAAACTCACGGAGTGGGGAGACAACTATCGTCAAAATGCAAGAGGAGGAGAGAATTTCAAGAACGAAGCTTATTTCAAAGAAAATGTAAGGAGAGAACAGGACATTTTGAGGAGTCCTCCTGAGAATTTTGGCGCAAGCTACTGTATTTTGGGAGGGGCTGTTGGTTTTTAAAATTGTCAAATTCTCTATCTCTACAAAAAAAGCTCAAACTGCCATCAGGAGATGAAATCTGTTCCACGAAGGAGGAGGGAGAGCAGAACCGCAGAAGAAACATAGCTCTGCTCTGAACAACACACAGCTATAAAAGCTGGAGGATGTGGTGGGTGTTTTTGTATTTTTGATGAAAAAAGAGACAATGACCATTTGCATGCCTTTGGGAATGTTCTCCATGTCCGTTCATACAAGCTCTTTTATCACTTACAGCATATGCCAGAGCTGGGAGAGCAGGATGTTGCTGCATGAAAACGCCAGGCTCCTCCTCACCTGGACCCCATGTTGGGGTTTTTAACGGAAGGAAAAATGTTTTCTCTGTGAAACTACACATTCCTTTTTCTCTGTGCATCCAAAGTGAGGTTAATACTTGTGGCACTGAGAAAAGGGCCTGGTTTATCTGTGGCAGCAGTACCAAGGCACAGAGAGCCCATTCTACCCACTTAAGCATTTATATCATGTCACATCATGTCATGTCTGTCATAGAAAAGCTAAAGCATGACCCAGACTCCATCACCGGCAGTGCTGATCTCCCCTGACCCTTCTGGGCTTCAGCTTAGGGATGACCAAGGAGATTTCTTCAGAGGCACAGAGGAGTTTAAAATCCCTGCTCCTCTCCCTAAATCTCTCACTCTCTTCCACATCCCTGAGTATCTCCAGCGTCCCAGGAGCTGGCTGGGGTCAATTCCATAGGTATTATTTTTTAATGTTTTATATTAAAAAAAAAAAAAGACTTAGCTCTTCCAGATCTGCTCAACTGCACCCTGACTCCACCAAGTCTTCCACAGCATGTGGCTCCCTCGGACGTTTTCCGCAGACTTAGCTCCCGACGCTCTCCCTGCCCAGCCTTGTCCCATATTGCACCATCTCTCATCCCCTCCTTGCTGCGATTCGTTACTGGGTATGGTGCTATATTCAGCCACCCAGACTATGCAAAGCTTCATTGCCTTTTTTTTTTTAATTTGTTTTGATTTGGGTTTTTTGTTTTTGTTTTTTTAAATTCAGGCTTTGTAGATGGCTTCTGGCTATAGCCACTGGCTCTATATTAGCTGAAAATCTCTCCTTTCTGAGAGCTTTGCAGACACAGAGCTGCACTCCCTGGCCTTTCTGTTGTCTGCAGCTAACAACCCAGATATATAGACTGCACTGAGAAATAAGGTGCTCCAGGGCACTTCCTTCGCTCTGTACCATGAATCTCTTGGAAAAACTTGAGATCAAATCTAATGCTTCTGAGTGCTTGTCTACATGAGGAATTTACTGCACAGTAAGGCAGGCTACAAGAACCTTCATAACATCGTGACTCTTTGGCATTAGCTTCCTTCCTGGGCGATCCGAGTGGGGAAATCCCTCGCGCACAGGGCACACGAGTCCACGCAGGGAGTGGAGCACAGAAGAGCTGATGTGCCATAAATTCGCCCCGCGGTTACTGTGCGGTAACTAACTTGCAGAGCCATGGCCTTAGCTGTGAAGAATCTCATCACCCATTTGTTTGCTCCTCATTAAAACATTTTATTTTGCTAGACATTATTTGACAGGGGACAAGAGAGCCAAATCCCCTAGACACACTGCTAATATTTTTCTTTAGATCAGATGGGATCGCAGGGACTCAGAGCAATAGCACATCACTACAGCACTTTCCTGAGCTACATTCCCAACCACCCCATTCCCAGGGATTTATTAGAAACTAACAGCTTCTAAAATGGACCACATTTCCAACCTTTCTCTTGCAGTTCGTTTTTGGTGCTTAGGGACAGCTTTGCGAGCTTTAGCGAACAGTGAGCCGAGGGCAGCTGAAATGCGGCAGTCTCGAGCTGAGCACTGCCCGGCCTCATCACGTGTAAATCCCCCCCCCCGCAGCCACTATCAGGGAGCCCCTTGGGAATCACATCTCTTGTCCCATTATTCATCAGAAACTCTCCCTTTGAGACAAAAACTCTGTCACCTTATGGTGGACTGCAGATGACGTTTCTGTCCCAACAAATCCCCAAACAATTCCTTTGTAACACTTGAACCCAGAAGCCGCTTACTGTGTAACATGCGTTATTTTTTCTGACATTCATTACCACAGTGCGAACTGTCCATGCATCTTCTTACCCTTTACTCTTTGAGCTGCTGAAATTCAGCTTATGGTAAGGGCTGAGAAAGATCCTCCTAGAACAGGAAGAGCTGATATTCAAGGAAAACTGCAGCAATGAATTACACTACTTCAGAGAGTCCAATATTTATTAAATAAAAATGTAAATGCTATTTTATCATCATATAAAGCCTTTCATCGAAAGAGCCTAACGTGCTTTACCACATTTAAAGAATTAAACCTTGCAACCCCATGTGAGGTGGTTTAGCATTACACTGCTTAATTGCACAGATGGCAAAGTTGCTGAAGGTTGCATACCCTGTACAGCTAGGGAGAGAAACCAGTTACTCTTTCTTGCCCTTAATATAAATATGTACAAGGGAACATGTATTTCCTTGCAATGTGATTTTCTCTAGTGGGAACTATGCAGACAAACACACTCTACACTTTGCAGAATAGACCGGCATACCTGTCATTGCCGTCCTAACTGATGGGGCTTCGCGAAACGGCTAGGAGTCCTAGGCTGGTGAAGCAGACAGCAACAAGCTCCTTTCATTTTTCAGTCTTCTTTCTGATTAGATATAATTGCACTGCTCTGCACTCATGAATACATCTTAGACCCAGCTGAAAGCCTCTACAGTTATTTCTGAGCAACAAATTATTATACACATATACACACATATATGTATTTTTTTTCACGTTTTCTTGTTGCCTGGGTCTCTTGAGCTCAACACAGCGTTACAGAAATAAACTCCACAGGATTACCTAGAAACAGGGCCTCTTTACCCTGCTCTCTGACAACTTGCTCATCTATTTGCAACTCAACATTTTGTAAAGGTTTTTGCCACTAGATCCTTAGGAAGTTGCTCTCCATTTCACTCTCTCTTTTTACCCCAGCTCCGTGGCCCATTTTGTTCTTTCAGTTGCAGCCTTTCACTGAATGTCTTAGATGTATCAGCTAGCGTTTGCAAAGGAAGAATTCGATCACCTCCCCCAACCCTTGTCTCATACTTCAAACGTTACTGTGTTATGAGGAACTAAATCACGGCAGAACGCCATCCCGAGGCATTCCTCCTTCGCTCTACCTCTGGGAAACAAACAGCTGCCACATTATTTGCCAATTCCGAAGCATTTTTAAAAGGCCAATAGTATCAGAATTGAATCAGAAGAAACCCCTCGCCCCAAAGCATCCTTCATGAATTTTTGCTGAGTTAGTTTCTAACTAAGCACAAGTAATCTTGTTTTCCAAATCGAGGCACAACTCCTCCTCTGCCTTGACTTTGTTTTTAGAACACAGGAGGGCGATCACAAAAAGTATGTCACAGAAAGACTTTTCCATCTCCACAACTAAGACCTATTACTTATGTCACAGCTCTTTGCCACCTGCTGCAGCATCCTGTAAGCACGCACACGTTAGCAGCGAGTTTTCTATGTGTCTGCAACTACCAGTCACGAAATCCTCAGAATCTGGCCAACCTCTACCCCCCATGGAAGTAGGGAAGAGAGGAGAGGCGAGAGATACGAGTGATGCTGTGGAAATCCAGCCTTACCTGACAGCGAAGTTAGCTGGTAGGAGGATAGCTTGCTGAAGAGATAGAGAAGGTGGGAAACGTATCTAAATGTAAGTCCAAGTAGGAGTTACGATCGACAAGTGTGAGGTCCTGATGGTATATAAATAAGTGGCTTGCACTGCTCAGGAAAGAGTCTCTTCACATAACGGTATGGCTGCGGGCACCTCTCTGGCATTGGTGTTTCTGGGCTCCTCTCTTCGAGGGCTTGGTGGAGAGCCGAGGTCGGAGGGGAGACACAGCAGAGCCCTTGCTGGGTACAGAAAAACCAGAACGAAGGTTGGAGCCGAATGAATGATTTGCTGCGGTCATGCAGACCAGCTGTCTTATTTTCATAGCAGTGTCTTGAAGGATGCTATGACCAACTGCCTAAAAAGGACTAACGCAAGTCAGCTTGATTGCCGCAGCGCTTTCTGGCATCAGTCTGTTGTATTAACGATGGCTTGCAAACGGATAAGCCTTTGGGGTTCGGTTAGGTATTTCTCCCTCGTGCTGGGGAAGCAGCCCGGCTGGACGCAGAGGGCTCGGCTGCGTGCTTGAGAACAGGCTCTCCGCTGCCAAAGCCCCTCCACACCCAAAGCACGTTCTGCGCTGGGAGCAGCGGGAAGTTTGCATGGAGGGAACAGATCGTATTTCTGGGCGTTAGTCTCATTCATCTTATCGTCCAACTTGCTGCCCCTCACTGCTGTAATTTAGATGTGGCTTTTTCTGCCCACCTATTATTTCACTCCTTTCCAATTTTCCTCTTTTCTTACCATTGCAAATTTGACAGGTCCCTTAACACCTCTACCCCTAGGGCAATGCCCGAGTTGTACAGGCTTTTCCCTCACATCCTCTTCTTCCATTTGTTAAACTGGGACAGGTCTTGTTAACAGCACGATGCCATCGCTGGGCTATGCTGAGAGGGGATCACCGCGGGACAGGGAATCTGCTCCTCTAAGTCCCCAACCTTCGGCTGGCTGCAGGCTCGAGCGCGATCACTGCAGTAATTTACCTTCCAAACACAGAGGAGTTCTCCATGTAGGCAAAGGGAACAGATGCTGCCTTTTATATAAGATTAAAACTTAATTTCCATTCAGTCTATGGAGAGAGGCTGCAGAAACATACTCAGTGGGCTGGTCCCATGTCATTTTTTTGATATTCCCAACCTTGCCCTATCGCTTTGTTACTTACCTCTTCACAGAACCACAGTTAGGGCTTCATAGTCAAGCTGAAATAATTCAGATTTAAGGTCAATTTTCTCTCCACGCACATTCTTTAATTTTGGCAAAGACTGTTGGATTTGGCCTGAAAACTCCCATGCTTGGGCATGAGCCAAGGGGAGGGGGGGCAGCCTTTTCAAAGTGGGAATATTTGTAAAGCGTTTGCTAACACCAGTGGGAAGCAAAATTCAAACCTATAAATACACAGCCAGGATAAGAAACTTCAGAAAGGGAGCGTGTGCGGTATTCACCAAGGCAACCCAATACCACTTCTGAGCACGTGCCCTCTCCCCAAGCCCTTTTTAGATGGTGCCCAGGACCCAGACCCTTCACGTGGCAGTGCAGGGTATACTCCCACCGTCGCTGTAACCGCCTTACATGCACAGGCTCATCCTGTTCTGAAGGCAAACTGGAAGAGTCGTACTTTACAAACGGCATGAACACATCAGGAATTTCTGCTGGGCGCTTCTCTTTGCTGATAAATGTTTCTTTCTTCTGCAGGATGATATGGTATATCTTATATACTTTCCTTTGTATTTCTTGGCATGAGAAAAAAAATAAAATGTAACATGCATGGTCAAAGGTGAACTCCTTTGTTCTGTCTAAATGCGAAAATGTTAGATCCAAACTACTTGTGTAACCACTGCTTCACGCTCCAAGAGCAAGCAGATTTGGTATTTTGGGGGTGGTGGGTTGCAAATGCATACATATAAGCAAACGGCAGAAGAAAAGAGCGTACGTCAGAGCATAGAAAGGTCCAGGCAGACCAGCCTTGTGCTGCAGAGACGAGCAATACCAGCTTCCCTGGAAAGCACAGCTCTTGTGGGAGGTATCCACCCAGCTGCGCAACAAGGCATGCCTTTTCTACAGAGATAGGAGAAGTCCTCCTGGCTTGCAGCATAGAAAGAAGGGCTAGCAACTGGGAACTGCTTCTAACTTCTGGCCCTGCCGCTGCAGCTTAATATTATAGCTTAATATATATTATATTATTGATTGAAAACACAGATTTCAAGAATGATCAGCAATTTTGGGTCTCCACTTAGAAAGCCTAAATGCAAGCAAGTCCTTTTAAAGTTTAAGTCAAGGCCTGAAAATTCAGTCATTACTGAAAACACTGGCTTTAGTCTTTTCCCAAAAAGAGTTTTTCAACCAGCCAGACTGGACAGCTATTGAGTGTTTGTGTATAACACGTGGCCTGGGTCACTACCAGAGTTTATTTCTGTATAACGGCACCCCGGTCAATCCAGGCTACTGATCTCTATCGAAGCTGACTTGCACAACGACTTCATTCATTGACGACAAACATCGTCCTCTGGCCGCGCGTGCTTAGCACCCTCCAGGCATGAATGGAAATGCAGTTTCCAACCCAACCCAGCTTGGAGAGAAGATTTGCCAAGTCTGAGATGAATTAGCTTTTTTGCACTGCCCTTTCCTCTGTAGCAGTATGCTCAAGCTGTCCAGAGTGTATCAAGGAGGGCTGGACTAGATAGCAGAGTCCCACATCTCCCTGAGGGTGAATCTGTGCCTCTCCCAGCACACACCGAGCCTTTGTGTGGGAGGAAGGTGCCACCACCAACAGCAGGGTCACAGAGGAGACCCTCCGGCCACAGAGCGTTTCCGTGCTGGTATCAGACTCGGCACCCTCACCTTCACCCACGTCAGCTATGGCACTAGCGGGAAAAAGGTGGATTTGAATTCTGTGCAACTTTGGCAGGCCAGAGCGTGATTCAGCAACCAGCGTGCCAGATGCAACATTGCTCCCCCACCCAAACGGCCAGATGCATTAAGGAGCACTGAGGTACCAGCAGGAGCTCACTACGAGAGCTGCAACATCAGTCTAGGAGGTCTGTGGCTCCACTCCGCTTATGGGCAGCTCATCAAACAAAACCTATTTGGTAATAACTCAGCAGCCAGTGCTGCAATGAAATAGATTCAGCACTTTGACTGTTCTGTGGTTACATTTAGGAAATTGTTATGTCTGTGTTGGCTAAGTAGCATGATGAAGAGACTATTCAGGACCATCTCCGTGGTCCGCTACCAGCTCCTCCAGCCTCTAATGTAATGCAGTAAGGCTTTGCTCTGCCTATCGTTTTCATAAGGCAGTGTTACAATAAAGACCTCCTTACTTTAATAAAGATGCAAGCTCTAAAATGTTAAAAAAGTTAACGATGCAGTCTCGTTTTGGGGAGGGGAAGAAAGAAAGAAAGAAAAAAAAAGATAAAAGGAACAGTATGTTGGCTCTTCCTTCAAGATATCTGCCCTTCCCTACCACTTGAAGTGCAGCCCCTATGAGCCTGAACTCGTCTCAGGACTGGATCTGTCACTAAGGTTTCCCCATATTCAGGCAGCTCAGCACTGGTATATCACTGCCTGAACAACTCCCAAGGAGACAGAGCTGTTCTGCAGCCTGGAAACTCCAGGCAGTAAGCTCTGCCTTCTCCTTTATACAACATCCATTCTACTAGACTACATTACCCACCTCCTGCTGGGCCCCGTAGCTTGCTAATATATTTGTAACACGTTAACCATATTTCTTTTGTGCGTCTGATCCCCACTGCTTTGAAAGCTGCAAGTCTAATCAGATGTGCTAGTTCTTACTTCTCAATACCCCCCACTTGTAATACTATCTGAAGCAGTATTCTTGATGCTTAGTTTCACATACAAAGGCCAGGAAATCAGCGGCTTGAATTGTTCCTTTTTCTTTCTCCATTTTTTTTTTGTTTTAAAAGGATGAGCCACCATGAATACTTACTCACAACTACACAGGCCCAAACTTGCACTATACTACAGCTAATCCCACTTTGCACTAAGACAGCGCTACTCAGTGCAGCACCCCCTTCCTGCCTCTGCTCACTCAGAAGTGCAGTTCTGCAAGAAATATTAGTCCCTGCACACGCACGGGCCCTTGGCGCTTCGAGCGTGATCGCAGGGGAAGTCCACAGAGCCACCTTTCTCTGTCTTGCAGAAGCAACGTGGATGTTTGGGAAACTCTCTGTAATTTACTCCTCAATATTCAGCAAGGGGAAAGGACTTGTGGTTGTGGGTGGTGGTACATGTGCAGAAGAGCCTTGGACAGAGTGGCTCTGGTGGGGAGAGTTTTTGAGCAGAAGCAATTTGCATCTCAGCATACCGATGTCTCCTTTGCCCCTCTCCATGTTTCGCTCAAAGAATTCAGCACGCAAGAAGGATGAGCAGGAAAGAATAATGTTTTTGTCACGGAGAAGAATTTTACTAGCATTAAAAAAAGCACATAATGGAGAGAGCTCCCTTTTGAGAGTACTGACTGTGTCACTGAAGCAGCTGGGCAGATGTGAGCTTTAGGCTTCAAAGTCTGAAGTTGACAGTCTCTTCTCTGATGTTTCACTAAAGGGATGGGAGTGCCAAGTGCTTTAGCCTCCTGTTTTATTAATATGCTGATCTGATGGGCTCATGTATAATAGATATGCAAGGGAACAGCAAGAGGTTTACATCCAATTTCCATGTTGCATATGTTTCTATCGAACACTATAGGCAGATCATTCACCTCTTAATGTTTGCCTTAGATAGTGAATTTGCATGGGTTTTGAAGTTCAAGGAAAGAACAAAAAGAGACCAGTTCTTCAGCTAGTTTCAATAGCTTAGCTCTACACAGCAGCTATGAACTGAGCACAGGGAAAGGGCTACATTTGCTTTCTCATTCATAACATGGGATGTTGCCAAAGGAAGAGCAGAGAGCAGTTAAGGGTTTCCCCGAGCACACTCAGGGCTAGCTGCAGCCTCTAAGTCAGTCATTTGTGACGTGACTGAGCAAGAGCCCTGGGCTGCTGCAGCTCTAGAGAAATACAGGCAGAGGCATTGCACAATTACACAGGAGAACTCAGCGCACTTCTGCAAAACTGCAATGGCAAGTCCTTATGAACAGGTGCACTAACACTTCTGCTAAAGCTCATCCCATTCTGCAGAGACACAAGGGGCTCGTAGCTCAACACTGGGCTGGAAACGTGACAGCTTGTGTCATGTCTCTCTACTCACAGAAAAGATTGAACCGAGGTGACCACTATACCTTGAATTAACTAGAGACAGGGGGGAAAAAAGACAACCGAATTTAGCATGTGTAGTGGATGCATCCTTCAAAATTACCAGGAGCATGTTGATGAACTACTTTCAGGTTCCAGTAAAAAAGCAGAAAACTGAATTTGACTTTATAAAAATGCTGAAAACCTCTGGTTTGTTATTTACCTCCCTAGAATCAGCCTTGTCCTTTACAGATGAAGACCTTTTTGCAGCACAAGATCTGAGTGTTGCGTCCAGTTCAACGCTGTCACTGCTTCCCTGCAAATGCAATCACAACTATACAGTGATGGCTCACAAATCTGCATAGTGTGAGACATTTAACTAGCACTCTAGCTGATCCTACATGGCACAGGCTAGATATTTCCATTGCATTTCAAACTCATTTTCTATCAGAGAAGACACACACTATGTACTTTGTAGAAGAAACCGTGGCTAGAATTTACACAACTGAAAAAAGAAAAAACCTTGCTTGTACAAGTTTGAATTGCCTCAGCAGATCAGGTCACTATTCTAAATCAGGACCTTTCCTCTATGGCTGGTTACTGCTGGATAACTGCTTCATACCTGAAGATGAAAATTCCCACCCTGCAAACTCCAGAAGACGTAAAATAGGGTAACGGGGATTTCTCCATGAGCTAAGCTACCTAGTTTTTGTGCTAAAAAACGAAGACTGATGGCCCTCATTGTTTCTAGCTTAGCTGTTATGTTAGATGCTATTTCTGGTCTCGAGCTGCCTAACGCTTCTGAAGCTTGCTAAGTTGTTTGCTTTAATAGCACGCAGCGTGAAACAAAGCAAAGATGGGAAGTCTTCACAGTGAAATGACTCCTTCTGCTGAGCTCACTGTATATTGCTGCCTCTTGGAAATGTTTAATTATAGGCTGCAAATTCTAAAGCATTTTCTTCCAATTATTTGGTCTCAGGTCCAATTTCAAAAAAAAAATGTATTTTACGCTTTCCCAGCTAGGATCAATGCAAATGGATCCCTTAAATTCATTTGGGCAGAAAAACAAAATATAGCACCTCACCCACTGCACTATAATTCATCACAGATCTGAAATAGCTGGCCTGGGTAAACAGAAAAGACATAACAACATTAAAGTAGTGTTTATAAGGCATATTAAGATGCCCTTAGGCAAAACAAAGTAGATATATGCTGAAGCCTCTCAAAAACAAATTAGCAACTGCGGAACGAGCTCTTCCTCCCCTGCCCTGGCAATGATTTGTCTCAGCCTCTCATGATGAGCCAGTCAGCTCACTGGAGTCTGGTCCAGCACCCACCTCCAAAGGGTCTTGGTGGCACCACACTTGCAAAAGGGCCAGGGACTCAGGAACTGCTGAGTCAAAAAGCATCCTTTTCTCAGGAACTGCAAGAGAAGTTCACTCCTCTCAGATGAATTTGTGTCTAGACCCGAAGAGGATAGTTCAGAATGGCCAACATTGGCCGGTCTAATGTGGCAAAGTACACAGGACACTCGACTAGCACATACAAAGCTGCAACTGGGAGCCTGAGGTTTCCAGAGGCCCAAAACATACATATACCTGAACCAAAGGATGTGAATACTGAGGTTCCCATGGTGGCATCTCACGCATCCTTCCTCCTTTCCCTTCCCCCAGAAGCACCGCAGGATAACTCTAATTGAAGTTTTCTGGAGACCTGCAACTGCCTTCTGCAGTAAGCCTGCTGCAAACGTCAAAGAAAGATTTGTTGGAAGCATCAGCACCGAAGGAGTCACGGTCAGTAACACCTGCCCAACATGGAACTGGCCAGCACATCCCCTCAAGTCTGTTATGAGTTATAGAAACAATTTGAAGGAGCAATCATTGTCTGAATAAAAAGACATCATTTTGAGAGGGCAGGCATGCTATTAATGCCAGTCTCTGCTTTAGGCTGATAGCCCTCCTGCCTTCTGGTTCTACATTTCTTTACATAAGCACTGCATGCTTTTATAGACCTGACTTGCAAACCTCCCTACCTCAGTAATATTTTAAAGTAAATTTAGCACTGGTGATACATGCCTGACCTAGAGGGAACTACATTTATAGCACAGCAGGGAGACATCCACATATACCCCCTTTTGCACTTGACCTCTCTACTAAGGCGTTTCTCTCGCATCAAGGAGACAGGCTGAAAAAGTCCAAACGGCAGCTCCGTGAGACAGTTTAGCTAGCCTCCTCCCTGCTGTACAGAAAGGCCTGGGAACATTCATGGGTTCTGTCCACTCGCTTGGCACCATGACACAAGTACCCACAAGTCTCCAGTGATGACAAGGCCCTTACGCAGTTCAGTGACTCTCTAATGTAATAAATGGTCACTTGTGTGTTAATATGTGGACTTGTCATGGACACCTGATCAGCCCTCTCACAGGCAACTCCAATTTCTTTTTATACCTGCAATCTTCCTCGGCACCCTGCAGAGTTTAAAAAAAAAGGTTCCCTTAAAAATCTGATGCTTCAGCAACATTTCACCCTGAAAGTGCCAGCTCAGCACAGGTCTGAAGTCAGATGGATCTGTAACAGACTACACACCTGGGCACACGTACCAGTAAACATAAAAGACACTTTCTGCTACATAGCCACTAGCTCCACGGGACTTTGATTTGCAACTTCGAGCATGGAGGTACTAATTTTTTTGGTGCATCTTTAGAAAGACAAAAGATAAGAATACTATCCTTGCTTCCAAGAACTTTCCATCAGAAAGATGCATATAGGCACAGAAGGTTTATTTTAAAGAAGAAAAGCAACATCTGAAAGGACTAAAGTCTACCTGTTTACTTTATAGCATTTGGAAAAGAGCACGCTGTGCTTGCGCACCAAGGTAGTTATCAGTGAATTTCCAGGTATAGCTCTAGGTGTGATTTTGATCAATAAGCTTCAAGTAGTTCCATTACAGCCCACCTGGGCTTCAAAATAAGGCATCTGGCCTTCAAAATAAGGATAGATTTTTAAAAGGAATGAAAATTATGACACCAAAAATAAATTCACGTGTTTGAAATGCTTAGTTGAAGCCAAACACCCAGGAAGACAGACAGGAGGATCTGAAAGGCAGTACAGTGAGAGGAAAAAGAAAGGTAAAGCAACAAAAGATGCAAGGTCTGTAAGGACACAGTTGCAGAAGACCTCTCATATCACAACACTGACAGAGGCTTCACAGGGTGTGAAAGTCAAAAGACAACAAGAAAATAACATGTGATGAGAGAACTGCAAATGCTCTTTTTCAAAGACAGAGGGGACTGATTACAGTCAGACTTTTTCTCCTGCTTTACAAGCACTGCTACCAGAACTGGGTTAGCAAAGCCTCAGGGTCCATTAAGAACAAAGAATAAGGAGGGTTGCAGTGACAGGAACAATGACAGCAGCAGCACACATGCCTGTAAACAGTCTTAAACAGCTTAAACAGAAGAGGGAAGATAAAGGTAATGGTAGGTTCACATCATTTACTGAACACATCTCAGGCACTAAAGTACAATCATTGCAAGCACAGTTTCTGCGTCTGAATAAAGAAGCAGAGTTTGGGAAATGTAAAAACCTACAACAAGCATTCAGACTTTCTGTTAAAACAGGGAAAATCAAGTCCACCAAGCAGTACATCTCCCACGTTCAACAAAATGGATAAAACATAAGGATGCTCCTGTCTCTCCTTATGAATTCGTAATGGAGTGTGCCACTCCCTTTCCGGGAGGGAACTGCTCATGGAGCTGCACCACAACTAAAGGACCAGAGTACAGCTCATCCATAGGGCACAAACACCCAGTGGGCTTGCGGCTGTCAAGGACGTCAGTTTTCAATATGAACAACGGTATTCTGGCAGGTAGATGGTTAAAAATATATATCTTACACTTGTGTCGCTATAAATTATTGACTGTACAGGGAGCTGGAAAAAAAGGATTCAGCTCTATTAATAATTTACTTTCTAATCCAAATGAAGATGGAATTTTATGCATCACTTATTACCAGCGCTACAATTGGAAAATCTAACTGCACTTCCCACTATTTGAAGCCAGAACTGCCTTTCCATTTTCAAAATGGTTTCTGAAGTTTGTTCTCTAACTGGAAACATACAGATGAAACTTTCCCTTGAGAAAGAATATGGTCATTCCTGAATATTTAGTAGGCACATTAAGGATACAGAAATATATCTTTACTTTAAAGTAGCGTTACAGACGGAGCATGACAGTTCGGAAATGAAAGGAACTACCTCTCTTCAGTCAGTCTTATGCAAACAGACATGAATCACACTGCCAGTCAGATTTTCTTGTTTGAGAAAATAAATACCTGAGCGACACCAAAAGATTTAGCAATCAGTTGCAAAAGCACCAGATACAGACGGGTGAAAGGCCACTTTCCAGTTTTTCAGGCACAGCACTGCCCAGTTTGAACACCTGAGGACTGAGGTGGTCCACGCCACAGCAGGGCTGCAATGCTTCAGGATATGACAGAACTATACGGACGGACTTTTTACAATTGCTTGTACTGTGTTCAAAGTATCACCTTATTTTTGGTGTTTGTGCTGTGATTACCTCTTCAAGAAGGGAGGGGAAAAAAACAAAAAAAAAAAAATCAAAAACACCTTAGAGAGAAATGCATTTAGCATCCCCTCTCCAAAAGTTACCTTATGCCCAGAAAGCTGTTCAAGTCAACATCAGTTTTGGTGTGCATTTGGGAATTAGATGCTTTATAGTACAGATTTACAGAGGCTTTTTAAAGCTCACCTTTAAAGAAACCCTTGTTTCCATCTGCCAAAACACCGCAAAAGAAACCATCATTACTGTATTCAAACCGTTCCAATGTGGATGCTTGAAATAAAAGCGAAGGGAGCAATGCACACGCATGCAGGAACACATCCTGTCTAACTGAGCGCTTCTCCGGTCAGCGAAGCTCCGTCTCATCTGTTATTTAGGACAAGAGCAGAAAACAAATTAGTGTGTACATTTAGTGACAATCCCGCACTGGAGAGATGAGCTACTGAACCTCCTCTGCACCTTCACTGAAGTGTAAGTAGGCAAAGATTGTCATGGGGAAAAAAAACAAGCACCTTGCTTAGAATTCTAATTTATTATTAAATTACATATCAAAGCCTTTTTTTAATACATACAGAGAATGCACAATAGGTGAGAACAAAAAAATTACAGATACAATAAAATAAGTTTCAAGAAGCTATATGAAAAGCAAAAAAATCAGAAAGTGCAATCAGAAACTAATTTACAATGGGTGGACGGGGATATTTTGTGAGAAAGTATTTTTGTCATGACAGAGCGTTGATTCAAACCGCTTTCCTCACTCAGTAGTAGACAGAGCAACAACTGCTTATGTATTCAGAGTTGAAAGCATCACGCTGGTTTCAAACATCCAGTCAACAGGAGAAATACAGGGCAACAAGAGGATTTGCAGATGTCACCTAGAATGCAGCTCAGCTTTGTCTCAGTATGTCTGTCTTTGTCGTCTCCCGTACTGCACAAGCCAGCATGGCTGTAAGGAGTTTCGGAATTATTTCCTCCTTTGAAAGTCATACAGTTATTCTCTCTTTCCTATTCTGAACACAAGGCAAAAGAAAAGAAAAAAGAAAAGGATATGCAACAAGAGATTTTGGGAAGCAAGCTGCTAGTCTTAGAAAATTAAAATAATCTTGACTAAACTAGTTACACAGTCAGAAGTGGTGGACCAGCCTTCACTCCACATAGCAGTTTTGGGGGGGAGCTTCGGGAACACAGCTCCTCAGAGAACACAGCCCTGGAGGACAAGCTGTCAACAAATTTATCTGAAACTTCCACATCACCTAAAAATCGACTTCAGCTCTTTCATTTTCAACATTCAGTGAGGAACCGACTCTTTCTTCTCACAGCAATCTTAAGACCTTCCAAAAGTAAGGACTTTAGAATTAGAAAAGAAAAATACTAGTCGATCATTCAGTGTAACGAAGCCAATAGGAATTTACACCGCAGCTGTTGATATCCAACAGCTTCTGAACTCAATACTGATTAAGAGAAACGTTGTGCTTTCCCAGGAAGGACAACCTCCCAAACTACCCGAAGCACCACAGCGGTTGGTCCCAGAGACATACAAGATGGCAAAGCCTTTACTCCGTCATTGCTCACACACGCCAGTGAAAGGCTAGGGATAAGTCACGGCTGCAGTCTGGGATATTGCCACAGCAATGCTCACTACTGACTGCACACGCAGCACCAAGTGTTGGCAGAACCCTATCCCTCTGCTCCAGCAACCAGATCTTGAAGGTTAGACAAACAAAGAAAAAATAGTCTAAAAAGCAAGGTAAAAATATTGAAGTGTTCATTTGAAGCATGGGACCAAAAGTTATCACCAGGATCCCTCACGTTCAAACGCTTAGCTAGCAGCTTGTTGGACACCTTTAAAGTAGATGCTTGTGTACTGGTAAGAATAAAGTAGAAATTAAAAAAAGGGGATGGAAGCAGGGAGAAAACGATAGGCCCTGTTCTTGTAACAGGACATTTCCAGAAGAGAGGAGATTTGTAGAAACATTCTGGATTTACTCACTTCATTTCTATGGCTTACAGACAATTTTCTTACTACAATTCTTTTTGGATGAAGAATAAACTTGCAGCACTGCCAGCAGTTGCAGAAAGGGGGATTCAGTAAATGCATTTTTTCCTTAGAGCGAGAGGAACCACATAGAACAAAGAAACCTAAGAGAATATATTTAGCAACAGGAGACACACAAACAAGCTGCAAAGAGGAAAATGGTATTTTGGGATTTGGGATTAAATGCTAAAATCCATTGTTTTCATTTTCCAGTCCGTTGCCTTAACTATAGATCCACATTACTCGAGACATTCTGGAGAACTAGCAAGTCTTTCCCTTGGTTCTACGCAAGCGCAGCACTTCAGAGAGCAACGGAGAACAGCAAACATTGTTAGAAGACTGCAACAAGACGATGGAGGGGAGATTACAAGGTTAATTAAATGTATTTTCCAACACAAAGCTCTGTTTCAATACCAACACAAATAAACCACAGAGGGGTTGCCAACACTGAAACCATTTCCAATAAAGCTTTATCAGAGATAATTCAGCATATTTCTGGTCTTTCATACTAAAATATATCAGTTCTTCCATAACATGAAAAATCAAGTATGTTTACATATTCATTATAATCTACATATTTTCCATAGCAGCTTTTTTGCACAATAAGATTAAATATATGCACCAAATCATCCATTAAACCCAGTAAAAAGACTGGTTATAAGATTAAATAAATGAATTTATTTATGATACTGCAGATCTTATATTGCCAACTATATAGCAATCAAATCCTACAAATCCTAAACAGAAGCACAGCTGCCAATCAGGGCCCTTTGGGGGGGAAAAAAAAAAAAGAAAAAGAAATCAGGGGAGAAGAGGTTTGATCTCCTAATATACAGATTAGCTGATAAACTTCCTTTATCCATCAATGTTTTTCATGAACCCCTTTAATGAACACTTTATTTCAAACCAGGAACATTTCCAAATGAACCAGATGACTACCCTTTATTTAAAATACAAGCCCCATAATTTCACATGTATTAATTTCAAATGCTTTCCAACACCAAAGACAAGATGACCAGTTACATGTCTTTGTAGTCTTTTTAGCACAAAGTTACTATTCTGCAAACAAACCTTCAAGTCCATGCGAGTGTTTTATGTGTGACAGTAGTTCTGCACACTACACAGGCACAAGTTGCTACTCCTTTCAACAGGGTACTGCACAGACACTATAAAAAGCAGTAATAAAATTGTGACCATCCTGCTGGACAGTGCTGCAGAACAGGGACCATCTCCAGAACCTGGAGAGTGTCCAGCATTTGGGGGTAATGGCATACATGGAATCTGCTAGGAGCACTGTAAACTGATTGTGGAGAAAAAAAAAAAAAAAAGAGTTAATCAAGTTCTTAGAAAGATATTTCAGTCCCTCAGTTTGAATTTACTATGTTATAATGTGACAGATGGAAAAGAGCAGTTGAAAGAGCAGAAAAATCTGTAATTTGTGAATCTGTAATATCAAAGCCATTCCTGAAGTTAAGCTTTGTTTAGAGACATAAACGCAGCAGGATTCATCTTGTATGTCTGGACAAGAAAAAAAGTTGTCATCCCCCTCCCCAAGATAAATGTAAAAAAAACTTGCTTGACTATTTAGCCATTCATACATTTGACTCTTTACTATGAGGGGTTACAGCCACAAATTTTGCACACAGATACATCTGCTATCAGGTATAACCATCATATGATCCATTTCCAATTGACAGCTTAGATTATATCCTACTTACAGTGTAAAAATATTAATGCTATTAGAATAACTTTATCTAAATTACAATATAGACTTTTCGCACTGCTTATCATGTCTTTATAAAGACTTTTATGATGTCAGCCAAAATCAGAGTATTTACACCCAAAAGATTACTTTTAGGTGAACTCACGTTTGGTCACTTTTCAGATGACTGCACACTATGGTAAACAGCTTCTAGAACGCTGTGCTCCCTTTATTTTACAAATGAGGACTTGTTAGTCCCTTTAAAGCCACAAGAAACCTTATAAATGTTCCTCAGAGGGTACTTTATTCATACTCTGTGCAAAAAGTGAATTGAACAATCCTCCTTTCTTTGAGAAACTTGCGTGAAGCAGTTTTCACAGCACGAGTTATGTAGAAGTGACTAGTATCTCAGCCATGAGTTTAAAAGAATCACAGAACATGTAATTAGTAGTAAACCAACCTGATGGCTTAAAGCTGCAATATCCTTCTCATAGGGCAAGTGTTCAGTGCTGTGCTTGGCCTTCAGGGAGAACAGGCTTCCCACTTCTCAGCTAACAAAAGACCTCCCCACCATCACCGAGCATGGAAGCTGTTCCATTGGTACTGAAAAGTGTCACATATTCACTTACCTTACAGTGTGAAAGGGAATTAAACACAAAAATCACTTATGCAAAATTTAACCAAAGGAAGATGTATGTCAGGGAAGGAGAAACACTGCAGCTTCAACCCAAAACCAGTGTCGCAGTCTACCACCGTAAACTCTAGACATCATGCTGATACTCCCAGCCATAAAGAGCAGGCTGTTTAAAGTCTGTCTCTTCCCCCATTCACTTTTCCTTGACTGGGGGGGAGGGATGGTGGTGATGAGGTTAGCAGAGTCCATGGGGAACATCCATCAATGAAAAGCATACAGCAGCAATAAGATGGTACAGATGCCAATAATACCACCCAAGATGAGAGAATCTCGTCTTTTCCGGAGGTTGATCCTTTGAATCAGACTGTTCACTGCAGGAAATCGATCTTGAAGGAATCTGAGTTAAGGTCATACCTGCAGACAGGGTCTTCATTAATGAGTCCCCAGATTCAGCATGTGGAAGTCAGCAATACTGCAAGAAAAGCAAAACTACTCCCAAGTTGGGGAAAACAGATGCAATAGAAAAGCCTAACAGAGAGTTAGCAGGATTACAACTTTGCTTCACTGATAAAAGATAGCAAGAGAAAAGGGATAACAGAACAGCACAGAATTCACATTCACACAGAATCCAGTATTTACTCACCGAAATTACCAGTGCCGGATACACTTCGATACCCAATACGTGGAGCTTAATTGTTTTTATAATTGTGTTTAAATGAGAATGAAAAAATTGGACAGCTATATAAAACATCTGTGGCATTTATTTAATGGAACTCTTGTTAATGGTTAGGAGGACAACTGAAAGCATTTTACAGAGAAAACGTGCTTTTCATGAATCTGCACTGTTCCCCACATATCACACAAGGAAAAATTGCTGCTATTGTAAAATCATAAAAATGTCAAACTATCTTTTAACGTACAAAAATACAATGGACAACAAGATAATAAGCTCCAGAGCTTCATTATCTTTTGACCCAAGAATCTTTTAAAGCCAAAGCTTATTGAATTTCTTTTGTTCTTGCCAGTTGCTAAGAACTGTAATGAAATTTACGGCTCATCCAACTACATCTCTTCAGGATGCAGTCTGTCTAATCAAATGATACTAATGGTGTTCTTTGGACCCTTATGGTAGAAAGGAAGAAGCAAGTGGGGAAATGACAAACATGCATGACTTGACAATCCAGCACATTCTTTAGCTAGAAGCACAAAATATGAGAGAGAGAGACTAACAAACCAAAATCTTAAAAATCTAGAAGACTGTGACAGACAAGAGGATCTTCAGGTCATGAGAACACTTAGCTGTAGAACAATAGCAAGAAGCAATCTATGCTAAGCTTCAGCTCTGGACAGCCTTGAAAGTAAAAAGCAAGTAGAAAGTCAAATGCAATTATACCTTTAAGAAAACATGTAGCTGGGAATACCTTTAAATGCTGTTGCAGATCTCTGCATGAAAAATAAACATTGACATATGTAGCATTCAAAGTTGAGTAAAAAGAAATTGTTCACCATGTTTGTCACTAAGATGCTTCAGTCACATTAACAAAGTGAGACTGGGGAAAAAACATGCTGTTAGTCACTGGCGACAAGGCCATTGTCGATGATACAGAAAGCAGCACTGCAAAGCATTGTGATCGCCAAATGACAGACTGGAAAACCTTACTGTAGCTCTTCTTACGCACTGGCAGCACAATCTTTAGGAAAGGATACTAGCCAAGGTATTCATTTTGCTTTGTATTGACTTCAACATCCCTCTCTGCGAAGTCATATTTTCTTTAGTTGCCATGGCAATGCTGGAGAAGAAAAAAGAGCGGATCAAGTTGCTGGTGCTAAGAATAATCTAGAGCTAAAACAATGGGAAAGCAAGCAGGCAATGCTGCTTTAGAAAACAATGAATGAGGTGAAGCAATATGAATGAAACTACATTCTTCCATTAATCCATTACTCTTAAATGATTTCTCTTTCTATATAACCATTAACAACTGGAGGGGGGGAAAAAAAAAAAAGCAATTTCTTGAAGCAGGCAGGTTTCTGGCATATCCTCCACCCCCCAGTTCCATCAAAACACAATACTACATTACAAACAAACCTAAGGGCTCTGTTTAGGGATAAGTTCTAAACTCAGAAATTTATTTCATCACAGAAGACCCTTTCGCAAGCACATGACTTAGCTCATGGAGCCTTACACACAAGGTTCGCGAACAACCAAGCGGCGACATACAATCACGAGGTCTTTAAATACCTGTCAACTCAGTAAACTGTTGCGATCTACTTGATTCAGGATCAGCACTGTCCTCTGATTCCAAATAAATTTTGGATTCTCCTCCATTAACATTGCCTCCCAGCAAGCCCAATTGGACTGCTTTCCATAGGCTGGGGTTGAAGGAGCTGTTCTATAATGTCAAATGGTCATGTCAAATGGTACCTCCATCACAGGACAGAAAAAATAAATTTTTGAACTTTGGTCATAATTAAGAATGTCATCCATGGCTATATAATTTTTTTTATACACTGCTTCTTTAATAATACATGGTCTAGCTGTATGCACTTTATCCAAACATAAGAATGCAATACAGGTGAATATAAAATAAAATTTCCCATTTCAAATTTAATACGTTCTGGACATTGGGGAAAAAAAAACACAACTGTGCTCTTAATAATATGCTATTTAAATGAGGATTTTAAAGAATTACTGAGTTGACAAAAGTTTTAAGTAAATCAATTTTTTTTCCTACCTTACATTTCTCTTCAGCCCATAAAAAAACATATAAAATGGAAATTGAAAGGGCAGGCTACTACTTATAGTCCCAGCTAATATTTTATTTAGCTACTTTGAATGTAATAGTTTTGTCAAAACAAACTGCACAGACTGATTTACACCTAGAAAAAGAATATGTAAAAGTTTAGGCTCTGCAGACACGGTGCTTCAGAAGGAAGTTTCACAAATAACTGTTCTCCTTGGCTGGCATGAATTGCAAGAAAAAACAAAGTAGGACCTAAATACAATATGGCTGGATAACAGCTCAGAAAATGACACCTATATTGCTATTGACTATACCTACATGAACAAAAAAGATTAAAACAAGTTCTTGGATATCTTAAGCCTTAAACATGGAAGGAAACTGCTCTGGAAGAATACAAGGTGAAGTGGAAGAGTAACAACACAACACAGGGAACCATGAGCACAAGACCACCACAGCCTGCAGTTTCTGAGGAAACCAAAGAGACAGGAAAAATATCTTTTACCCAATATAGATATCCATGTTTTCAAGAGTATTTTACCCTTGCTCACCCTCAGGGTCTGTATACAAACTTGACACAAAATCACAGCTAATAGTGAGAGTATTATTTTTGAAAAGAGGCAGACATAAAGCACTGAAACACACTATGCAAGCCCAACATCTCTGCCAGGTTCTGCATTAGAAACTAGACGTTACCTTTAACAGCTGAACTCTCTCAAGATACCTGCTCAATATGCTTGGTTTTCAAGCACTGTTCCGTACTGAATTTATTTGGGTATCAAGGCTTTGGGCTTGTCTTCCCATAACAGAGACACCACTCTTGCAGGTACCAGTACTACAGGACTAAGGTTGATCTGGCCTTTCAGGATGGGAAGACGAATAGACTACACCGCTAATAGATATACATATGTATACATATATATAAAATATATTTATCCACATCAGAGTTTCCAGGTAAAACTTACCGGAGAAGTCACACACACACACAAATTATATTTGTACACTTATTAAGCATAGAATCATCTTTCCTAACATTTCTATAACAAAGACCATTTGATACATTTTCTTTCAAGTCTCTCTCTGAGCAAAACAACATTTGAATTAAGCAGCTCTGGATCATCTGATGCATCACTGGCATCTCTGCTGGAACACTACAGCCAGCAGTGTGAAAATAGCTGGCAAAATAAAACAGATAAGCCAAGCCTAAGAAGTGCCCTTCCAGACCGTAGCAAAAGGTCAAGATCACAACTCACAGGCATCTAACTGAAGAAAAGAGACTGGATCAATGATCCCTAGAACATTTCGGGAGCAGCAAGCTCCTTTTTGGTCCTTCCCATTGTATCTGCCTACTCCATCTCAAGCAGCTCCTGTAACAGTGTATCTTCACCCTTCCTATATGGGCCAAGCAAACTCCTCTAAAAACAACGAAAACCAAATCCACAACTCATCTGGCACCATCTCTTTACAGGGGAAATCCTTTTCAGGACTAAAATTACAAGAAAAGAAAGTAAAAATTAGATTAAGAAATAAAGAGTAGCATCATTGCCGAGCCCCGCTCTACACGAGAATATGAAGAAAAGCCTGTAACGGAGGCGTTAACCAAAGTTCTCAGCAGGGAAAAACCAGCTGTATACAGATATGGAAAAGCAGTTGCAACCTAAGGCTGAAAAAGGGGCTGCAAAATTAGAACGCTAAGTGCATCAAATAGTATCATAGGTGAGAAGACACAGCATTGGACAGATTATATACATTTGCAGCTCAGCACACAGATTTTATTCTTTAGTTTTCTAAAACAAAAAGCAATAACCCCACAAAAACATTAGGTTTGCTACTGAGAAAAGCACTGGGGGAATTCTGAATTACTAGGTACTGAGTTGGAAAACCATGTAAGATTTCACAGCTCAATAATTACAGCCTGCTCAATAATTACAGCTTCTTATTTACACCTCCACCCCGATTTGATATATGTCCAGGTGAAATCTGAATAAAGCATCTCTCAAATCACCCCTGAATTAAGTCCCATGTTTTCATAAGATGCATCCAATGACTCATTAAGGAATCCATTAAAGTGAAAACACAAGATGATTGCCAGGACATAAAGTGTTGCTGAGACACCTCCAAAACACCTTTGGGAAATAATTATTAGAGATTATCATGGAGTACCGAGTTCCTGCTTTAACATCTGATGAGTAAACTGCCCACCCCATATAAAAAGGCACGATTTAAATTTTTAGGTTTACAGATTACAAGATTAGAACCTTCTTCATTTATTTTACTCCATATTTTTTAAATTTTATCTTAATGGGAGAGGTTTTATTGAAGTGCTCTTAGGGAAAAAAATTGCGGTGACTGCCATTTTTAAGTTTTACTAGCATATGGTCTGGTAATGAATTATCATTATAGCACTCATAAAAAAGAATTTAACTAGCTTCAAGATATCATCAGGAGTCAAAATTTAAGTAGAAATTACTTTTCTTTATGTATAATTTAGTTATGCATAACATGAGTGGGTTTAGCTAAGCCTTCATCTTTGTAAATCTGAGACTGTTAAATTCAAGGACTACCAAAGTTAAAACACACAGCTCTTGGGAACTAGTTCCCTAAATTGGCCTTATAAAGACTTCGGTATTATGGCTTCCTCATATCCTTCCTTATACAGTTTTAGTTTCATTCCCATCTCCTAACACATGCTCATTAACTTACTGCTACCATTTCCTCACTGACTAATGCATTTCTTTAATCAATCATATTCTTCTCTTTCACATTATTGGCCCCATTTAGTTATTCTGACACAGTAATCTCCCTAGATCAAGAATACCGTTTATTTACATTTCAAAAATTCTACTCCACATTTATGACAGAAGAATTAAACGCTTTTTAGTCACCAGACTCTCTATTCCACCTGTGGAGGATCCCACATCACTAAAACATTCCAGCAGTGTAACACAGAAACCCCTCCGTTAAGAGTGTTCTCCTCTTCTCCAACACGATAATGATCCCTTGGCAAGGCGCTCTTGAAAATTAACCAATAATGGATATTGATCTATTCTCCCAAACTCCTCATTCCAAAGGAAAAGCTTAGTTCCTTGTTTGGTTTTGCCTGGTGATTACCAATGATGACTCATTTCTGCTACTTCATGCTCATGATAATTAAGAGTTAAAAAAAAAAAAAAAACAAAAACCATACACACACAATCACTTAAACCGTATCTCCATGCCACAGTGTTCATAACAGCACTTCCAATGTTAACCTCCATTTAGTAATGAAAAATTTAGGAAAAAGGAAGATAAAGAAATACTTAAATTTTGATTATACAGTAATTTGAGCTTTCAGTATTAGGTTCTCCTGCTGATTTAATTTATATTTAAGTGTGTACACAGACAACTTTTCCTCCACTAGCTCTACATTGCAAACTACGGGGCAGGCAGAACTTCCAGTTTATCCACATGCACAAAAATGTTTATAAACTATTAGTAATTCCAACTGCGTTCAGAAAGTGTAAGAAATTCCAAATTCCAACTCTGCATATTTTGCTCTCTATCCTGTGATCAAAAACCAGCTTATGTATAATTCTGACCATTTGCCTCAGCGCTAGGTGTTTCCAAGATGACCCCAATTTAACATTTCATTAGAAAATAGCATGAACTATTCTCAGCACAGCATTGGATTCAACTACTACAGTTGGGTGTAAACCAAGTTCCTAAAAGCAGATGGTATTCTGCCCTCTGTATTTAATACTAAAGCACTGCTCCAGCACAGCGCTAATGATTGCTGCATGACTGGAGCAATCTCGTCCGGGTAGGTCTCGGGTCACAACCACTAAGAGTCATCCATCTCTTCCACAGATTAGCAGGAGCATTCCAGATTTGCGTGCTGGAAAGCATGTTTCCGCAAAATTTCTCTAAAGTTTCAAGTTTATCCTTAAATGTTTGATAGTGCTGTGGGTATGTGAGCAGCCAAATTCGTCTTTGAAAATAAAACTGATATCTGTACAGAGCTTGCATTTCTCACTAGCCTGAAAAAGTATAGAGAAATAACAATTTCCAGTCATCACTGAAGTCAAATTAGTCTAACATTTGGAGCTACACATTTAATGCTACTTTACCTAGATAAATATTTAAGCTGTTGGGTATTCTTACCCCATAGCAGCCTTATATATACAATATATTATCAAGTAAAACACACCAAAAAGTTGGCTCCTTGCTTCATCCTTTGAGATGGCTCAGTCAAATCTACATCGATGAAGAATTAAAATAACGCTCTAAAGGAACAAGACAGATTTTTAAGATTAGATAATTCATGTACTACTGGAACTTCTGCCTCATTCTGTACTCCATGAATCATACTCGCTCACTCATTTCATTTAAATTTATGGCAACTTTTATGACTAAGGGATGGGCTCCATGACTCTGCATAAAAATGCAAGCTCTAGTTTTCAATTTGTAGTAATTCTGATTAGATCACTTACTTTTTGTGTATACACATATATGTATACAAATGTACGTTTGTATATAATCTTTCAAATTACTTTGGAGATTATTTTGTCTTTTGAGAAAACTTAAGATGAAGAGAAAAGGAACATCTCCCCAGAAATGCAAGTGATTTTGCCACGATTCTCTGGCAGGGCTCTTCAGGAACAGCTAAGACTCAAAATCTAATATTCATACCTGTTATGCATTATATTCTGCAAAGTTGAGATATATAACCTTTATTAGATACAAACTATTACCTAAAGAAATCCCCCCAACACATAATGAGACTTACTTTTTTTTTTTTTTAAATTAAATCTGGCATTTTGATCTGCCTTCTCATTGTCAAAGCCCCCCTCTACAGGTTGCTGGTCATCATAATCAGCTCCTCCTCCTCCACTGTTCGAGTGCTCTGTGATCCTGAACACCGAAGCTGCGCTCGACAGCACAACGCTCCCACCACTGGAGTGGACTAGCCCAAACCCTTAACATAAAACCAGTGACGAAGGGTCACCGGCAAAGCAGGGGATTCTTGGCCTCCGCTGCCACTAAGGCTGAGAGAGACAGAATTAGTGCTCCTGGGTCCAGAGAGCTATTTCTGGTGTCTTCTCTAGAACAAGGGGCAGAGCATCCTTCAGCTACCTCTTATGTTTTGTTTATTTACAAAAGCTGCAACAGTGGGTTGTTTGGCACAATTGCCTAAATCAGGCATCAGAAACAGTATTACAATAAAATCATGAGAGCTGGTCACATGCAAAGCTTTAAAAAAATTGCAAAATCAAAGCTGTGGGAAAACAAAAAATAAATCATTTGCTATTTTGAGAAAGTGATAATGTTTGACAATGAAAACCTGAGAAAACTAAACACATTAAGCAAAGATCTATGCTTATATTTAAACATATGTCCAAGATAAGTGAGCACCGTTCCAGGAGAACTGCAGTACAAAGTATCACATCCCACTCCTTTCTGGGAAGGAATATGCTGCAGCAAGAACCCATGTCATGTAATTCATTTAAAAATTACAAGTTTAGTACTAACAAAACATCTGGAATGATAGCCCTACTCATGAGTTGAGTTACTGAACAATTCCAGCTTATGTATCCATAAAAATCTCTTGCAAGTATGTTGGCTCCTGCAGAGAAACCATACACAGGAAGAGTCAGTCTCTGTACTTCAGTTCTCCTCTTCTCTACAGAAAGCCTGAGCAAGGCTTCCATAAGTAGCGCTAACTGTAGAGGCACTGGGAAAGGGGTCACCTGTACACAGCTTGTCAGCAAAAGCCTCTGCAATCACACAAAAACGCATTCCGGTGCTTATAATGTCAGTTTAAAAACAACTTTTAAAAATAAATAAATAAATAAATAAAATAAATAGATAGCGATCTCAAATTCCTGAATTGCACCCAAATAATATGAGTAATGAACTATAGCAGATGTAACCCTTGAAGACAGAATAATATTAATAGCCAGAACAAGCTAATTATATCTCCCTTCACTCTAGAAATCTGTATTAGAACAGCTTCCCCTGCACAATTCCATCTTTTATTTGGTTATCAATAGATAAGACTAATTAAAGTTGGACAAAAATCTATCTGGGAGATACACTTAAAGAGCAGCAGGGTTTACCATCAATTAATAATATACCTGAATGCTTGCAATTAATGGGAATGACAAGAAAAGGAGTAAAACAAAATTTACCCTGGCTTCAAAAGAGACTGAATTGAATTAAGATGCTATCAAGTGATGCAAATTAAACTGCATGTCCTGCTAAACACTTGTATTTACCAAACAAGCCTTTTCCTACAGAATGCAATACAGAACCATTTCGGCAACCGCTGTAGTAAGGAGCTCATTCACTACAGTTAATACATGGTGCAATAAGGAGGGCAGAAATCCAGCCTCGTAAAAATCAAAGTTCAACAGTTAACAAAAGGAATATTTTCACTAAACAGCACCAAGGAACTCAGAACTGAATCAGGCTGCAGGAACTCTTGCACGTGAAGCAGTCACTATACAGACTGATATAGACTGATATAGTCAATCAGTAACCAACCACGGCACTGCAACTCACACAAACGTAACTCAAAGCAGTTTTAAACTAGCCAGGACACCTACTGATGACAAAGTGGCTGTGACACCTTGGAGCTTTTGAGTAGGCTCAAAATTGATTTAGGAAGCTGGGTGAATATTTAGGCAGCTGGTCTGTTGTGAGCTCTCGTTTGCCATGGCCATGTGCCCGAATTCAGGTAAATCTACACGCATATTTGCTTATTAAGCATAGACATACTCCCAACTTCTCAGATGACACATAATCAATAGGGTAGGTGAAAAGCTCAGATGAAAAAATACAAGCCATTTTGCTGGATATTAAACTTAAAAATAAATCTCACAGGCTTTTTAATACTCCAGTTACTAGAGTGGCAGCAAAGAAGAGATTCAGCAAGCGTTGAGTCGAGTGTTTTCATGAGACAGAAAAGTAGGACTACAAATATGGCAATGGGGGGGGGGGAGGATTTTTAATGAGAAAAAGATTAGAACCCAAAGTAAAACAAACATTCACAATAACTGTGCTAGGTTTGGCAAGTATTTTCATGTGTTCATGAGGCTAACCATGGTAAGATTGTATCTATATTTTCAGGCATTATTTTACTGAACGCTTCTTTTGTCACTGTACACTAGTGTGGTTTAACATGTTTTGCCACCACATTAACCATAGGAAGCCCACTGTGTAATCAAGATAGCCAGCCCTTAAAACGGACAGAGAGCCTTGCTGCACCTCTAATTATTCCTCTTGATCACTTATGCCAGGACATGCATTATGTGAAATCAAATCTTGCTTGCATTTTTAAAAACAATAATCTAAACTTTTAAACTATTAAGTCAGGCACTCTGAATTATTAAGTTTGCAAAATCCCAGAGTTCAATGGAAGGCTGGGAAGGGCACACACGATAAAAGTAATTTACGATGCTGTGATTCAACATTAGAATTTCTAGGTCAGTTTGAGAAGGCAGCACTCAAGTATTTGAGCCATGCAAAAAACAGAAGATAACTATAAAACAGCCATTACCGCTCAAGCCGTTATGGTAAAAGCCCTTACCTGTATCAGCTGCACACTAGGGTGCTAAATACTTTGCAGGGTTGCAGAATATCATGCTATATAAGAGTGCCATTATGAGAAGAAACAGCTTGACTCTTGAACTAGCCCTCAATAGCCTAACCTGACAGAGCTCCACCCTGCTCAATCATTCGTTTTGTTTTTATAGAGGCTGATTCACCTTTGAAAAGAAACCTAAAGTTTCTAAACCCAGGATGAGTAAAATATTTAACCAACACCATTATGTTAATATTGAATACCAAAAAAGAAGAAAAATGAAAAAAAAAATCACACTTCCTTTGTAATACTGCCTATGCGTTGTAGCAACACAGTTATTGTATAAACAAAGTTTCTGATATAATTGTACAGAAAATAATGAAAGTTAGTAAACTCATTCCTACCTTATTGTCTCTTCTATCAGCCGATCCGAGCTGAAAGCCAAAAGAAAAACTGCAGTTAAAAAAAAAAAAAAGGAACGAGCACCGAATATTTTAGACCATTAGATCAATGCTCACCATAATACAATCTTTAACAAATTTGCCCTTACAATGTTTAATTTCAGGATACTGTCATTTTTCATTACTACACAGATTTGGAATATATAATGAGAGTCTGTAGAGAAGATGCATATAAAATCAGTGAGAGCAGCATTTCCCAACTGTAGCAAGAGCAGATGCTCAAGAGAATACACAAAGGACCACAGAGGCAAGAAACAGTGGAATGGGGGAATGGGCTCCACTATTCATGGTCAATTAAAACTAACTGAGCCAGAGATGTACAAGGTGCCCAGGACAGTTTGGAAAGAAGTCTTAGAGAATAAAGCACCTCAGTTTCTCTGCTCTTTAAACCTGGACATTCCCCTTCTTCCCCCCAAAAAAGACAGTAAAAAAAAAAAGCTGAAGCTTAGTTTCGTTAAATAACATCCCAAAACACTGCTGTGGAGCTAGTTTACCAAATACCAGTTGATGGTGGCTAACAAGACAAAGGCTGTCTATAATACCAATTGAGAATTAAGTGATGGTTACAAAACACAGAATACACGTCATCTGTTACAGAAATCTTGATAAATGCACATCCTTCCCCCCTGCTGCCACACATTAATCAAGTTTGTATGCAGCATCCTGGGAAAAGACAGGCTAAAATACAGCACCACAGAGAAAACATTTCATTTAAAAAACAGACACGTGAGATAAGACGACCAACAAAACCCTCAAAATACTTGAGCAAATTTTCTTCCCCCTTCCCCCCCCCCCCC